GAATGTTTTCTTTCTTCATGTTTTAACCACAGAGCAGCATTTGATATCCTTCAAGCTCCACCGGCATCAAAAGAAGTTGTTGAATCCCTACCATCAGTACCTATAACTTCTGAACATGTTGGTCAGTGTTGGTATTATTAATATTTTTAGTTTGTTGCTACAATTATTATTTTCATAATTATTGTGTCATTTTTATTGTGATTTTTTCACTTTTAAAGCCATTTTTAATTTGGAAAAAAGTGAAGCCTTTTCAAAATAATTTGGAAAAGGCTTTACTTCACCCAAGAGTTATTGGAGTCCATCTTAAAATTCATCCCGTGAGGTTCCTTGCTAACAGAGGTCTCTCATAAGAAAAATGAGAAGAATTAAGAGAGAGACCTTTGCCGACCCTGACACTGGACTCCTAAATTATTATTGGTAATGCTGAAATTATTGTGCATGCCCTGCAGTTGATAATAGCCACCATGAGCTCTGTGAGTTTACAAATTTCACATTTTGATCAGGCTATACTGTGAAATTATCCATTTTTTAGCTAAGCACTAAAAATACATTAAGAAAATAACATCCCTGCAAGGGAAAGTCATACTTTGGTTTCCTGAAAGAATTTTGCATTGCCTTTAAATTCTGACAGGCAAAACTTCTGACAAAATAATTGCAATTTTGATGCTTCAAAAAATGCCATGAGAACGAGAGGAGTGTTATCAGTGGTACACTGAATGTGTGTGTTGTTAAATTTCTAAAAAAAATATCAATATTGCATTTCAGATAAAGGCTGTTCATGTCCAATTTGTCAAGCAGAGTATGAAGTGAGTGACTAAATTGGTTTATTTATCCACTTTAAAATAACATCACATTACTTTCTGATTTTACTATTATTGAATTCTTTAACACCATCCTTTATGTTACCTCCTTGTATCGCTTGTTTTATGCCATGGTGGTATAATTTTTTAATTTGTGCTGCAACCATCTTCCATGAACGTGTCGATTAATCAAACAAAATTATCAAATCCGTAGTATTATTTTTTTATTCTTTGGATACCTAGAGATAATATTATTATACTTCACGTTATTACCATCGATCAGTAATGCAGTTGTTGACTAGCTTTGTTTGAAGAACTGCAATTTTCTACCTATTATTTTATTAGATTGGAGATAATGTCAAGCAACTTCCTTGTGAACATATGTTCCACCAAGGCTGTATTTTACCCTGGTTGTCCAAGGTAATAATAACTTTGAGCTACACATGTCAGAGGCGGTGGAGTGTTTTGAAACATGGGGGGCTTCTCTTCCACTCAGCCACTTGCGTAATACCCCTACACAAATTTTCCAAAATACCCTTTGCATTGTTCATTGGCACAAGCAAACCTCTTTGCAACTGGCACAGTGTATAGTGTGCCGGTAGTCAATTTGTGACAATGTATCAGTAGGCAGTTGTTCAGGCAGTCCTGCTTCATGGTGCTTCTGAGGCAGTTCTTGAGTACTCTGAGGGCAGAAAATGTGCTCTCTGAAGTCACCAATGTCACAAGTATTGTCAAATACATCCACATCTTCTTCATCACCAAAATGTATGGGAGCTCTGTGCTACAGATCGCCCTGTCCCCCCTGCTCCACCTCCTATGCATGTGTACATGTTACTGACTTAAAGCAAGAAGTCAAGATGGTTAGGTATTGGTGAACTTCTTTCTAAGTTGTGTTTTATTGACTGACATGAATAGTCAACATCAATTAACACACAGAAGCAGGCCATATGTTTAGTCACCTTGACTGAAAAAGCTTGATCACAAAAGAATTGGCAAAGTAAAATTTCTTCATGCAAGACCACGGCCATCTTGCCTGCCTGGGTAGCCAATCAGAACACAGAATTTGCTTTATCTTGGCTAGCCACGGAATCAGCCATATACCATACATGAAATAACAAGTGTTCTTCCAAAAAGTAAAAAAAAAAAAAAAAAAAAAAAAAAATTAAAAACCCAAAAAAAAAAAAAAAAAAGAAAAAAAAAAAAAAAAAAAAACAAAAGATAACAAAAAAAACCAAAAA